AAAAAAAAACAAACTCACCCACATGCTTTACCTTCTCCTAAAAGAAAAGGTCTTTCTCTGAGAAAGAGAGATCTAGAGATACAGATCTGCACAAATAATTGGATAAAATTAACACATCATACCTAATTTGAAATATTTTGGGCTTAATGATCAAAAGCAGAACATAAAAGTTGTAAAGTTCGATTGCAAACAAAGAAGCATCGGTAAGCTTTTGGCCGGAAAAAGTTTTCCGGCAACCTTTTCTTACTTTTTCCGGCAACCTTTTCTTATCTCCAATTTCTTCGTCCATTAATCCAATCTTTTTACCTAAAAAACCCTTGCCAAAACCTAAACATTAAAACTAAAAAGAAGATGGAGGACTTCATCGGCAAATATTTTCGGTCGGAGAGGATTTCAAGGTTCTTAACACAGTAACCTCATCTCTCTTCCAACAAATCCTCGCTAGAATTTTTAAATGGGATGGAACATGTAAAGTTAGCGGAAGTGAAGGTGATGATGGAGCCATCTGGTGAGTGATGAGAAGGAGGGAAAGAAGAAAAGAAAAAAAAGAGAAAATAATAAAAAGAAAAAGTAAAAAGACAAGAGGCCCACCAAAAATTAATTATGATAATTAGTTCCATAACATCCAATAAAAAAAATAACATGTGTATAGTTTAATCCACGTTTGATATTTTTTTCAAGATCCACGCGCATTTATGAATGAAGAATTATTTTCACTGCCATATCATATTAAATTAACTTTGGACAAGTATAAGGAGATAATGGAACGCCCATAAAGTTTAAACGTGAAACTGATATTTTCACCGGGTGCATCTTATGTATTATCTCTTATTAAAATAATCATTTCTACTCCAACAAAATAAACTACAAATAGAGCGGAGGGATAAAATACAATCATAATATTAAACTACTTTTCTCCTCCAGCAAAATTATAAATTTAAATGGACGGGTCCAAATAAACATTTCTGTAATTAACTTAGTATCACAATACTAACAACTGAATATGCGAAGGTACTTCAGCTTCAAGCTGGAGCTTAGCAAAATGTCTTGCCATTTGCTCCTCCTCACTTTTGTCAAGTGAAAAAGAGACATAATAGACATCTTGAGCCCGGGGATCAACAATGATTTTCTCCAGCGCACTTGCATTTTCCAAGAAATACCTAACGAGTTCAACTTCACTGGTACGTCCATAATATCCACTCAGCCTGAGCACTTTGAGGTGATGGAGAGGACATCTTTCAGCCTTCCTACACTTTCTTTTTGACCTCGTGGGTTTCGCCCACTTCAACTGCCAATAAGAAAAGTAAATGACAAAATAGTACTCATGTTGGAAATGACAAGAATCACTAAGGTAAAAGCAATCCATGGGAATTTTCAAGTTACACCTTAACTAGCAAGATCCGCAAACCATATTCAGATTTCCAACGTCACTCAGAATGGCTCTAAAGATCTGGCTTCCTCTCCCCTTAACTCCCAACATCCCTCTTTTTGATCAAGGAACATATAACTACCAAAGATTGTGATGGGTGGTAAGTAACCTCGATCATTAACTAAAGATCTTGATTACAAGTCCTAAAAATGGAACCGCCTTTCTGGAGAGTGTGTTACCCCCAAAGTGGGACTTTCCGGCATGAATCTGAACTACTCGAGCCCCAAAGCAGCTAATGGACACCAAGTTGGAAAGCAACAAAAAGAAGAATGCAAAATATGAATACTTTCTTCTTCTTTTATTTTTAGTGGTTATTGCCTATTGGTCAGAGAACATCAGAAAAAATAAGTAAGAATAATAATATTATAAATGGATCTTGAACCTATTAACCCTGTTTGACTGAATGAAAATTCAACATTTCACAATCATTGTTAAAAGTCATCCATTATCACTTGACTGCGGGAAAATTCAACATTTCATATTGACATTCATAACTTAAAAATATAAACGTCCAAACATCAAATCATATATCTTCTGCTAATTTGATCAAGGAGAGCAAAGAAAGCTGTTGTTAACATTTATAATTCCATTTCAAGTTTGTTTAAACAGCAAAATCTACAAAGACTTTTAGATAAGAGAACTTTTGCAGCTGTTCATAGGTTGTCCTTATTTGATTGAGCGTTTCAAACTTTCGAGGTTCATAGTACCAATGAACTCTCAAAGCATTCAACTTTACTCTAACTTTTCTACAATCTCAAACGATTTTATTCAACATTATAAGCAGGTAAACTTTAATCAGATATCACTTAGAAGCGTATGTGGAGGATTCTTGTTCTTAACAGTAATCAACTTAGCTGCCTGTGATCACATTTCAGCTTAACATTCTAAGAAAAAGGGTTAGGTCAAATAAGTCTTTGAAAGAATATTGGAAGACATTTTTTAATAAGGTAAAGCTTAAAAGAATATAGGAAGACATTAAACCAACAATTAATTCAACTGTGCAAGTGCTGTTTGGGAAGTGCATACCCAATGCGCTAATCTCATAAATTTTCAAATGTCATTTGATGCCCGAAGGCAATCAGTTTCATGGGAAACGAATAACTGCTACTCCACTCTCTCCCCTACCTTTAAAAAAAGGGTTAACTTTCCTCTGCAAAGAGAGCTTGTGGCCTAATATAAGACCTCTACCTCAACTGTCCTCTACATCACTGGCTCCATTGCCAAAAATACAATCGATTCAAATCCCTATTCCTGGGAGTCATTTGGTTGGGACACCAACACTCAAATCTCCTCTACCAAATGCTTCTCTTGATTTCCAACAACATTGTCTAAGTCCTCATCTCCACAGCCTCTGTTCTAATCTATTCATCCTTCACAGGCCTAACTATCTACTACCAACGGCAACTTACTTCTCGGCTCTCTTGCTGGCATGTTCTCTTTTGAATTTGGTTCATGTAATGAGGACTAATGGGTTCACAGTCTAAGCAGTTTTAGGAAAAGTTTGAGAGCAAAATAGTCATTGTACAACAAAATGCCAAATATAGTAAAGTATTAAGAATTGAAAATCTGGGATAACATAAAAATCGGTCAACTATCAAGTCACCGACAGAATTAGTAATACCAACGAAATGCCAGAATCAAAATTCAATTCTGGAGTCACTCCACCATACCGAACGAGCTTTAAGGCAGTAATTCGGTAAGAGAATTTAAGTGGAAGAGTAATGAAAGATCAGATTTGGTTTCACGTGATAAATGCAAGTTGAAGCTTAAGTCAGCTCACCTATCCACAACCTATTGAAGAATGGACACCTACATAAAGGCAGGGACTATTAGAATGGCAAAGGAAAAATAGTTAGAAATTAGACAACAGCCTGTTAAGTAATACACATTCATGTCCAGCTTGTCATAACCTATTCTTACCAAGCTTGATTTGTGATGTAACTGAATTAAAGTAACGGAGCACAAGCAGCACTAATTTCTCCAACCAGAACTCGAAATAAACAAATTAGACTTATCACATACCTTCAACTCAAATTCCTCCAACAATGGAGCAGCCTCTATCACATGCTTACAACCTAAGACACTCATGTCTTTCCATGCACGAACACATACAACAAATTTCTTGAGCTTGGTAAATTCAGGAAACTTGTAATGCCCCATATATTCCTGGGAGATATTAAAAACACACCAATTAGCACAAGCAAAGGAAAGGTAGATGGACATTTCAAAAGTTTGTTTACTGACCAATCCCATATTAGCAGTTATTTTGAGGACTTCTAGCTGAGAGAAAACACAGGAAACCCCAGCCAATATGTTATCCAAAGTACTTGAGGAGCTAATAATGTCTACCTCAATCAGCATAGGAACATTCGAAAGCAATAATTTGTGCCCTGATGTAGTCCCAAGCGTTACAAGGTTTGTATCACGGATTTTAAGTGATGTTAAATCGGGGCAGGACCATATCCCCAAGTGTTTCAACTTGAGTGAAGGACCAACAACATCCAAATTTACCAAAGTTGCCGCTCCATAAACCACCATTTCTTCTAGATATGGACAATTTTGTAGGAAGAACTCAAGAACTTCACCTGTCACGTTGACGCACTTCAATAACAGTACCTTTACAGACTTAAAATTATGCCGGAGAGGTGGGAACTCGCGGAGATTGTTCGAATGAGGTTGATTGGGACCAAGGAGCTGGGGCGGAAAAGTATAACAATAATCACAATCTCGAATCAGCTCCCCACCTTTTAACAATTCCAACTCTAACCTTTGAACTTGCCTAGAAAAGGCAAACTCAAGCCACTTGTCAATATCATGCTGGGCGAATTTGTTTAAATCGAAACAAACACGGAATTGGTCTAATCTCTGAGCTTTACAGATTTGCAAAGTACGGTTGACCCATCTTACATACTTCTTCATGTGCCTTTTCCGAAGCTTTTCATCCAATGCTACTTCGTGCAATGGTTTGGTAGCAGCAAAATCAAGACGAGGAACATATCTCCACAAGGGTAACCACCGCTTGGAGAGGACACTCGTGTCTGCTGCTTCCTTAACACTAAGAAAAGATAGTATATGTAACAGAATATCATCAGGCAACTGACTAATGCGATCCTCTGGGGTGCAAACTCGTCTTGAACACTAGAAAAAAATAGAAAAGAAAAGCAGTTTCAGACTATGAGAAAAGAATTGTAGCACAAGTCTTGGTAGTAGGATTTACCTTCTTTAGAGCAAAATTATTGGAAAGTTGCAGTCTTTTAGCCATGAGAGTCTCCCGCAGCATAACAATTAACGGAATGAGATAAAAGTTTGTATTTTTCTTTCTTTTTCCAACTACCAGAGTCAATCAGTACTAACATGGCCATAACATACTCTAAAAATCATACAGAAACTAAGATTACAAGTACAAATAGGTGAAAAAAAGAGGAGTCTTGATTACTGTATATTCGTGTAGAGGAGGTATATATACATATATTTATCAAAATTGTGCAAAGAGTTATTTTGAAAAGAAAATAGAAAAAGGAGATCAAGGTCCCTGCTGGAAAAGCAAAAGACTAATATATACATATAATTTGAGAAGAAATTAAAACTAAAATATAGTAGTACAAAGATGGGAAGGAAAGAAGCAGAAGAAAGATGCACAGCAAAAAAATTGCTCTTTTTCGATTGAAACACAGAACAAAGATGCACCACTGCAACAAGATTGCTCTTTTCCAAACCTGAACGGCGGATGGCTCTTACGGTTACCCTTAGAGAGAGAGAAAACCAGATTCGATCGAAACAGTAGTAACTGACGGCTCTTATGGGTCTAGGCCCAACAGTTGCTCCATGCCCCGCACCGTCCACATCCGATTGGATTTGAGCTTGCCTTTTCGGCGGTCAAATTAATTTTATTTCCCGCCAAGGAGCCGCAAATACCAGAATTTGAACAGCTGAAAATGGATTGAACATCTCAAATCTGCAATTCATATAGAGACTAGGGTGACATTTGCACAGAGAACCATTTTTTGGAATCACTGTTCACTTTTTGTCCTCTTTTGAAAGATCGTTGTTAAGGTGACCCTTTTAAAAAAATTGGGAAAAAAATACCCTTTATGACATGCTACAACAGTTTATGGAGAAAAAATATTAATTAGGGATTTGGTGTTGCAGGACAACCTGATCCAACAATTGGAATAAAAGGGCCTATATTTTGGTATTTGGCACCTGGTAGCCCAAATGTGTATATCTAAGTTTATAACACAATAATATTGTATTGTTTGTATATCACAATGTATAACATAATAATATTGTGTATATCAAAAATGTGTATCATAACTTAATTTTCTTTCTCTCTCTCTATATATATATCAAAACTTTATTTTCTCTTTTGTATATCTCAATGTATAACATATCTATAGATGCCTTGTTTTGTTTAGCATGGTGTATAACACAATAATAATGTGTATTAAATCAGGGTTTGCTGGAGCCTAAGGTCACTAAGGCAATGGCCTTAGGCCCCCAAAATACTTAGGCCCCAAAATCTATAAATAATATTAAGGTATGCACTATTGATAGAATTTTAAAAATAATTAGTTAAAATAAGTATAGCTAAAAGTTTTACACACCTTAAATTGTAGCTACTAGTTGTTTCATGTCTATAATTTGTCCCAACTTAAATCGATCTCTTATGATGTTATATTAGCATAATTTTTCTTAATTCTTTGAGTGCCTTTGTAGATATTTTTCAAGCTACTTTGATAAGTAAATATTAAAACCACTCTATCTCACTATGGCCACCCTGTTGTATGTCCTTAATATTGAATGACTCTTAAAACATAGTAGATACTACAGTATTATTTGTTTTAACTTATATTTAGAATTAAAATTTCTAAGAAAAACTGTATAAGTAAAAGAATACTCTAATTGGCAAATTCAATAAGGTAAAAAGTGTTAATTCAATTACCGTTAATAATTTCTATATCAGTTGCCTCGGTTGAAAAAGTTTTTAAAAACTAAATCAATAAATTTCAACATGATAACACAAGAGAGATTAAACACGTTGGTTAGACATTGGCAATAATTAAAACTGATTTACCTTCTTTAAATTTCGATACATTATAAGAGTAAACAAATAAAAAGATTACGGCCTCACTTTTATTTTCGCCTTAGTCCCGTATTAAGGTCTTGCAACTTCCTTGCCAGTCGACTCTTCAAGCTCCCTCTTTAGTAGACTTCTTGTATGACCAGCTATTTATTTATCTTCTTTGTGTATATATCAATTTTATTTTTTTTATTTGTGTATATTTTCTTATTTTGTATGTCACATTGGAACAATGCAAACTTGCTGCTTAAAAGACTATTGAGCAATGCAAAATCCATCTGTGTTGCCCCATCTCGCTAAAAACTTTAAAGAATTATATTTTCAGAAACTTACCGAAGTTCACAAGTTTTCTCTAATTAAAGTTCCTGGAGAATGAAAACTCGATTTGTGGACGAACCAAACAAGGTATTTCGACTTCAAAAATTTGTGAACTCTGAAGAAGAATACTACTTAGAAAATGAGTTACACTCATAAAATCAGCTTCTGCTTATTTTATATGCATTTAAGTATTTGGAAGACCAGTTTTGAGGGGATATATAATTTAAGCGTTAATTTAGGAATAGAATCTTCAATATCGATTATTTTCGGAGATTTGGCTATACAATGTCAATTTTCTTGGGCTTGAGTTGCCAACCTAATTTTTGGTCAAAAATATGCCAACTGATATAGGATGTTGTCAACATGTGTCTATTTAATAACCACGATTTATCAAGCCCCATGTCATGTCCTTAGTCTTTAACTAAGCGCACGTGCGCTTAGTTTAAGTCTAAGGACGTGACAAATTGGTATCAGAGCAATGGTTGCAACTAAGGGAATGTCGAAAGACAGAGAAATTAACGTTGCCAACACCCAAGCCAACGTCATCCAGGATATTGCTGGCAAGAACAGTCGTAACAAAAAAGATGAATGCCACCAACAAGAGCCAAGAGGTGCCGCCCGAGATTGTGCCAAACGAGAGGCTTGCATCCCAAGAACCATCTACCACTGAGGTGAGCGAGGATGAAGTGGAGGTCCTGCCGGAGGACGTCTCGCTCGGTAAAGAGTGGGTGATGAAGGTGAATGTGGGGATGGACGTCGTCGAGATCTTTGGCCAACGCTTGGGGGGGAGGGGGGTGGAAGGCACCCTTAGCATTCTTGAGAGACACACTCTCAAGGAGATTGAAAGTATCCGAAATGACTTGGAGAGACGTACACAGATTGAGATGGAGCTAAGGCAAACCATCGCTGCCTTGGAATGCAAACTCATGGAGGCCCAGAGTACTATCGATGCTATGAAGGCAAAGATTGAGTCACTCGAGGAGCATGTCGATGTTGGCGTGACCGAGACAAACAATAATGTTGTTACGACGAGGGAGGCCAATATCGAGACTCCCAAACCCTCGGTGTCAAAGGTGTTCGTAATGCACAAGAAGTGGAGAACTTCCTTTGGCACTTGGAGAATTACTTCAAGCACGAAAAAGCGAGGGACGATGAGACTAAGATCAACACTGATGTGTTGTACCTCTCAGAGATTGCCACATTGTGGTGGCGTCGAAAGTGTATTGAGATGGAGAAGGGGCTATGCAAGATTGAGACGTGGGAATAGTTCAAGAAGGAGTTTAAGAAGCAATTCGACCCGATGAATGTGGTGTACGAGGCTAGGCGGTAAGGAGCTCCGACAAACGACCACAATTCGGGAGTATGTGCGAGAGTTCACTACCTTAATGATGCAAATCTTGTCGTTGTCTGAGGAAGATTCCCTCTTCTACTTTCATGGATGGGTTACAAAATTGGGCAAAGCAAGAGTTAAGAAGACATCAAGTAGCCAACGTGGACGAGGCCATAGCGGTAGCTAAGTCGCTCGTTGACTTCAAGACGGAGCTAGCCTACCAAGTCCAAAGAAGGCAACGCCGAGAGGGGTGGGGGAGGTCATGATAAGGACAGCGAAAAAGGCATAGCCGGGGTATACAGAGGCAATGGCAAGGGACCATCCCATATAGTACAAGGGTCTAAGAGAAACGACAAGAGGCCATAAAATGGTAGCGAGTACGTGCCTAAGAGAGAGTGATAATTCTGTAAAGGATCACATCGGGCAAGTGAATGCCCAGAATTAGGGAAGCTTGCAGCAATGATCGGGAACTTTGCTCAGGCACACAAGGGTGACACATGAGAGACCGCATGCATTGGGGAGATGCGCTTGGAATCTAAGCCGAAAGTAGGGGATTCTAAAGCCTATCTTGGCGCCATGCAAACGGAGCATGGTGGCAGCAAGAAAAGTTGGACAGGCATAGTTGAAGAGGATGGCGAGTTACAAAGTGATGGCACGCTATCAGACTTAGACGATGCACCAAGCAGAGGGGTAAAGTTTGCTAGCAAGGCTATGACCACGAGGGGAGCAATCAAATAAGGAGTGGAAGCATAGACCCGATGCTTGAGAAACTGCTAGACTTGGTTGAGTCATGGGGAGATTCAGGTCAAGAGCAAGGAGAGGCATTCGATGGGCAGAGGATCGAGGCCATCATTGTTAGCCGTCCAAAGTACAAATGGGGCAAGAAAAAAGGTGACAAGTACCTTGTGACATGGGAAAGTGAACCGCTCCATTGAGCATCATGGCTAATGGACAAAGATATTAGGCGACGCCAAGGCGAGTTGCACGCGTACGTGTCGATGCTTTGTGCCGAGGGCGGCACAAAATTGGGTGTGGGAGAGTGCCATAGCCCGCCACATCATCGTGCCACGTAAGTGTCACTTGGCATGTATTTTTGTCATATGGAAAGCTTACTTATGAAATAGACTAGAACATGTGGGAAGGTTCTAGATAAATATGGAGATTTCTCATGGAAGACCTTAGAACCCTATGAAATTGCTAGGAAAGTTCTTAGAATATTCTAGCTATGTAAAAAATTCTAGAGAAAGGACTGAGACTTGTGTAATAATTATTATTTACTCACTAGCCCCTAGAAGACTAGTATATAAAGGGGGTTATTTATTTGTAACTGACCAAGCAAAACAATTAAGTTTTTTACAATAAAAAGCTTTATTTGGCAATTTTCTCTTGTCTTTCTTATCTAACATTCCCTTAGCGATCTTTAGTGTAGTAAGGATTACTTGGCATAACAATATCGTGAGTGAGTTGTGCAAGATCGTGAGTAAATTTATCAAGTGCCGCACGTGCGCTTAGTTTAAGTCTAAGGACGTGACACCCCCTCTAAAAAAACTAATGGTTTAAAAGTATTTGAGATTCCGTAAAAGGCCCTTTTATTAAGAAGTAGTATGATTTACAATTGTTAATTAAAAATTAGTTATAGTTAAAATTAATTGAATTCAGTCACTTTTCATGCGAAAATAAAATATGGAGAAAAATACCCTTAATTTAAAATCCGAACAACTTTCAGCATAATATGCTGAAATTTAAATTTTTTACATTTGAAATTGCAACATGCGCTACAATTCCAACAAATGATGTTGGAGTTTTATATGCAAAAGTTCCATAATCTAACATATTATGCTGAATTATTTTCGGGTTTCAGCTAAGGATATTTTTATTCAAATTTTATCTTCGCTCTAAATAATAGCTATTTTAACGATTTTGCAAACACTGACTATTTTTCTATTACCAATCAAAAAAATGGATAAAAATAGCACGGGCTAACAAGTTTTCGGACTGGTAATTGAAAAATAGACGGCGTTTGCAAAGTCATTGAAAAATAGCCACTATTTTGATGCAACACGGATTGGTGCACCTGTGTATGAATTTCCAACATATTATGCTGGAACTCTAACACGCGAAAAGTTCCAGCATAATATACTCGAGATTGGAGCACTTGTGCATGAACTTTCAGCATATTATGCTGGACCGATATATTATACTGGAACTCCAGTATATCTCCAGTATAATATGCTGGAGTTCCAATATATTATACTGGAATATTTTCCGGATTTTGAACAATGTTTTCGTTCAGATCTATCTTTACATGAAAAATGGTTAAATTTTGATTACTTTTGAAACTGTAGCTA